GGGGGTTGATCAACATACACTTCCTCTTGAATAAATCCATTGAGGAAGGCACTCTTAACATCCATTTGGTATAGTTTAAAATCCATAGATGAAGCAAAAGCGAGTAATAAACGAATAGCTTCTAAACGTGCTACCGGTGCATAAGTTTCTTCAAAATCAATGCCTTCTTCTTGATTGTAGCCTTTAGCTACGAGCCTAGCTTTGTTTCTAGTGATTATTCCATTTTCGTCGAGTTTGTTACGGAACACCCATTTTGTACCAATTATGGTGTGATCATCGGGTCTTGGCACCAATTCCCAAACGTCATTTCGTTTAAATTGGTTAAGCTCCTCTTGCATTGCCAAGGTCCAATGTTCATCATCAATTGCTTCCGAAATGGTTGTAGGTTCAATTTGAGAAACAAAAGCCATGTGACCTATGGTGTCCCTAAGAGAGTTACAAGTACTTACCTTTTGGTTGATGTCACCGATTACCTTGTCAAGAGGATGGTTCTTTAAAGTCCTCCATGCCCTTGGCATTGGCGTTTCCTCCTCTTGAGGTTGTTCCTCGTTTGCGGGTGGCTCTCCTTCTACATCTTGGCTTTCCTTTGAGTTTTCTCGTTCGTCATTGTCGTTGAGATGGATGTTCTCCAATGAATCTACAAGATCATCACAAGAAACCTTTCTCGCTGAGCGAGCATCATTTTCGGCAAAGACAACATGAGGAGATTCCTCAACGGTTAAGGTGCGTTTGTTGAAGACTCTATAAGCCTTACTATGCAATGAATAACCAAGAAAAATTCCTTCATCCGACTTTGCATCAAATTTACCCAAATTATCTTTTCCGTTATTGTGAACAAAGCATTTGCAACCAAAGACTCGAAGATGGGAGAGGTTTGGCTTTCTTCTTTTGTATAATTCATATGGGGTTTTCATGTGTATCGGTCTAATGACGGCTCGGTTTAACACGTAGCTCGCGGTACTCACGGCATCCGCCCAAAAATACTTAGGAGTTTTTGCCTCATCAAGCATAGTTCTAGCGATCTCCTCGAGACAACGATTTTTACGTTCCACTACTCCATTTTGTTGTGGTGTACGTGGAGCGGAGAAGTTATGCTCGATGCCTAGTTCGTCACAAAACTCAGTAAAGAGATCTCGTTCGAACTCTCCACCATGATCGCTTCGTATGGCTACGGTGGTTAAGCCTTTTTCATTTTGAACCTTTTTGAGAAAAGTTTTGAAAACATGAAATGCCTCACTTTTATGAGTTAGAAATAATGTCCATGTGGATCAAGAGTAGTCATCAACGATCACAAAGGCGAAATAGTTTCCCCCAAAACTTTTTGTTCTTGATGGTCCAAAGAGATCCATGTGCAAAAGTTGTAGGGGCCTTGTTGTAGACACAACATTTTTCGATTTAAATGAGGCCCTTACTTGTTTTCCCTTTTGACATGAATCACAAATGGTGTCCTTCTCAAACTTGAGTTTCGGAAGACCAACTACTAAGTCTTGTGAAACCAATTTATTCAAAAGGTTCATGTTGACATGAGCTACTCTACGATGCCATAGCCACATATCGTCCTCCTTACTCATGAGACATTTGGCAAAGTCGGAGGGAGATTCATCTAAGTTAACCATGTAAATATTATCAATTCTATCACCACGAAGAATCGTCTTATTGTCACTAAGACGTTC